AGATGGCCGCCATGGCTAAAAATAGAACATAGGGGTAAAATGTAGATTTTCGCTTATATCTCTGAAACCAAAGCATTTAGAGTAAATCTGACATGGGATAAAACTGATTATCAGGTTAAGATCTATCTGCCCTGAAATTTTCAGACAAATCTGACAACCTGTTGTTGGGTTGCTGCCCCTGAATTGGTAATTTTAAGGAAATTTTGCAGTTTTTGGTTATTATCTTGAATATTATTATAGATAGAGATAAACTGTAAACAGCAATAATGTTCAGCAAAGTAAGATCTACAAATAAGTTGTCATGACCAAAATTGTCAGTCGACCCCTTTAGGTATAGAACCACTAATTCAGGCCCGGTCGGAAAGAACATACAAGAAAGTAGTACATATTTTAAACAAAATAGTTCCTACGCATAGCTGTATCTTTGTCAATAGTGGGAATATTTGGGTAGTTTTAGTATCAAATGAAAGCTTGGGGACTTGGGATCACTGTAGAATCCTTGTTGAAAGTTTTATTTGAATAATAAAGAAGTATATGAAATTTTAATAGGAGGGCTCATTTGGCCTGTTGTTCAGATCAGAAGTTCCTGTTTTTGTACTATCAAACTTCCGGGAACCAGTACGCTCTAATATGCAATTAAAGGTATGTTGATTTTTTCAGCACAAGTCAGCATAAGGTACAGTTTTGACATGAAATAACTGCCACTTTATTTGAACTTCAGACAAAGTAGCCATTTATGCTTGAAATTGCAGAATTTAACATAGAAAGCAATGGGGCTATGAATTAGTGGTTTTATACCTTTAGTAGTTATTGCCCTTAATAGTCAATTTTTAACAATTTTTCGTAAATTTTTGTAATCTTTTACAAAAATCTTCTTCTCTGAAACTACTGAGCGTATTTAACCATACTTGGCCATAATCATTTTTAGGGTATCTAGTTTAAAAAATTTGTCCGATGACCCCGCCTTCCAACCATCATGGCCAACTTGGTTAAAAATAGAACATAGGGCTAAAATGCAGTTTTTGGTTTATATCTCTGAAACTAAAGCATTTAGAGCAAATCTGACAGGTGGCAAAAATGTTCATCAGATTTAGATTTTTCTGCCCTGAAATTTTCAGACGAATCAGACAACCCGTTGTTGGGTTGCTGCCCCCGAGTTAGTAATTTTACAAAATTTTTGGATTTTTTTTGTTATTATCTTAGATATCATTATAATATCTAATGTCTAATACTATTTATTATGATTTTAACCTTATTTTACATGATTTCGAAAGCATCAGTAAATACAGGTGAGCGACACAGGCTCTTGAGAGCCTCTAGTTACAATATATAGAAAAGACTGAAATAGATCTGTCATATTGATACATATTTTTCGAAAGTACGATTTAATGAGTTAAGAGTCCAGATGATTTCTGTTGGATATATCTTACATTTACCAGCTATACAAATCTATTTTAAAGACATATACAGGTCTGTCCTCTTTATTTGGTACGCATATATATATGTGCAACTCGTCTAAACATCAGCCCAACAATGTTAGATCTGTAAATTTGCTTTCGCAAATTTTTTGTTCTTCCCTCGCCGGGATTGATCCGATGGATAAATCTGTTGTAGAGTTGTCACTGGTTCAGACGTACCATATATATATATACAAGTCGAAATTGAAAACAACGTTCAAACCTATGATTGCGTTGGATAAAAACCGCAATTTTTATACGTGTGCATGCAAAACAAATTTCTTGGTAGAGGGGTATAAATACAGCACAAACAACATTTTCCAAAAGACCATAAAAAGTGAAAAAAGTATATTTTAACAAAACGCATTTGACTAGCAGGTCGAACAACGGATGTTCTTAAACCCTGCTGACTGCCATTGGCGATTGCCAAATAAACTGATCACCAGATGTAACAAAATGGATCTTAACTATTAATTTAATACCAAACAGAAAACAATAAACTTGCGGAAAAGATGGTATACCTCAAACAAACGGTGCAAAAATTAGTACACCATATCCGGATTTCGACAATTAATGTTTCTTCAGTGATGTTAGGAATCGAAACGGTATTTGGAAGGCCATATAATTTACCTCAATTTAGGATAGACTTGAATTTTGAAGAGTCGAAATAGGATGAACGGATCAAATATACCCGAAGGCAAATATAATACAAGCCCAAACGAAAAAATATAAACAAGTCTAAATTGAAAACAACGTTCAAACCTATGATTGCGTTGGATAAAAACCGCAATTTTTATACGTGTGCATGCAAAACAAATTTCTTGGTAGAGAGGTCTAAATACAGCACAAACAACATTATCCAAAAGACCAACAAGTATATATGTAGAACTCGGAGGTGCGATAGGGACGCTGAAATGCGATGGTCACGCTGAAGTGCGATGGTCTGCGCCGAAGTGAGATGGTCCTTTCGTTGGTGTGCGATGGTCTATAAGACGCATGATGGCTAGTTTAAAATTTACAGATGATCAATTATTGTAAGAGCTTCTTTTTTATAAGTTAGTATATGAATACCAAACATTCAATATGTTCTCCAGTTGCAGTAAAAAAAAATCGGTGATCTATCTTATTCTTGTTCTTATTTACAGCAGCCGTATACATTTTTCGCTAATTTTGTTTTGTTCTGACTAACCAAGAAGTATTTGCATTTCAAATAACCACCCAATTTTTTTCAGTTATTGCAATTAGTACTGATTTTTAAGAAAAATAGCTTTTGTTTATGTGTATGTAGCGTCAATTTCTGAACGATTGTATGAACGACTGCTTTTTTTTGTCTAAACTTTTTACAAAGAATAATGTACACTACAACGTTACAGTGAGGACTGGAATATTCACTGCCTGTTTAAAATTAAACGGGATAAACTCTCGATGTTTTACATAAAAAAACGAAAAGCTACTAACAAACAAATTGATTTCTCGGTCGACATGTGAACATGGAAAACATTGAAAATATGATTTATAAAATTGAGAATGGAAATGGGGAATATGTCAAAAAGACAACAACCCGACCAAAGAGCAGAAAACATGAAAATATGTATTCCATTGCACTTCAGTCAGCGTAACTATCTTCGCACTTCAGCGTAACCACCATCGCACTTCAGCGTAGCCACCATCGCACTTCAGCGTAACCACCATTGCACTTCAGCGTAACCACCATTGCACTCAAGCGTAGCCAACATCGTACTTCAGCGTAACCACCATCGCACTTCAGCGTAGCCACCATCGCACTTCAGCGTAACCACCATTGCACTTCAGCGTAACCACCATTGCACTCAAGCGTAGCCACCATCGCACTTCAGCGTAACCACCATCGCACTTCATCGTAGCTATGAACACGATAGCATCACAATGCCACCATCGCACTTCGGTGTTATCAAAAACGCACTTTAGCGTTAAACCATCACACATCAGTGTGACCATCGAGGTTCGGAGTAACATCGTGGTTCAGAATCCTACATATATATATATATATGTATATATACAAGTTTTTTAATTTCGTTCGATAATTCGTTACTTATATATTTTGTTTACTTGTTGATAATTTAGAAAAAAAATATTTTTCCCTCACCTGTCGTCGTCGTAAACTTTTTCTAAGATTTTCTACTCTGAAACTATTGAACCAATTTCAACCAAATTTGGGGTGAATGATCCGTATGGTATCTAGTATATAGTTTGTGTTTTTTATTCCTGTCAGTTAACAGACATGGCCGCTATGGCTAAAAGTAGAACATAGGGCTAAAATGCAGTTTTTGGCTTACTAGTATATCTAACAAAATAAAACAGTTGGAGCAAAACTGACATGGGGTAAAAATGATCAGCAGGTCAAGATTTAAAAGTGAGGAAATCGGTCAACCCAATTTAGAGTTAATACTCCTGAAGTTATATTTGGTATGAAATTTATCAGTGTTTGGTTGTTTTTTTAAAAACTGTTATAGATAAAGATAAATTTTAAACATGAAAAAAGTTCAGCAAAATAAGATCTACCAACAAGTTTAAGAGCGAAATTCGTCAATTCATCCCTTGTAGGAGTTATTGCCCCTGAAATAATATTTTTTATGAAATTTCTAAGTTTTTTTGTTGTCTTCTTGAAAACTGTTAGAGATAAAGATAAATTTTTATCTGGAAAAATGTTCAGCAAAATAAGATCTACCAGCAAGTTTTAGAGCGAAATTCGTCAACTGATCCCTTGTAGGAGTTATTGCCATTGAAAAACAATTTTTATTCAAACTTTAATATAAAAATAAGAAGATGTGGTATGATTGCCAATGAGACAACTCTCTACAAGAGACCAAATGGCACAGAAATTAACAAATATAGGTCACCGTACGGCCTTCAACAATTAAGATTTTTTTCAGAAAATATAATAGATAAACAGAAACTTCAGACAGCAAAACTGTTCAGCAAAGTAAAACCTACAAATAAGTCAACATGACCGAAATTGTCAATTGATGAGTTATTGCCCTTGAAAGATAATTTTTAACAATCTTTTTAGTTTTTCGCAGAAGCTATGATACATGACGATAGACAGAAACTTCAAACAGAAAAAGTTTTAGGCAAAGTAAGAGCTACAAATAAGTCAACATGACTGAAATTGTTAATTGATCCCTTATAGGAGTTATTGCCGTTGACAGATAATTTTTACCAAATTTTTTAGTGTTTCGCCGAATATGTGATAGATAGAGAGAAATTTCAAACAGCCAAAATGTTCAACAAAGTAACAAATCAACTTGACCTAAAATGTCATTTGATTCCTTATAGGAGTTATTGCCCTTGAAAGATTATTTTTATCATTTTTTTACAGTAACTATGATAGATGCAATGTTTTACATGCATGTATAAACACACATTAATATGCATTAAACAGCAAAATTATTATTGATGCAAGATTTACACAAAAAATTCCACGTGAGCGAATCGGGCTCTTATGAGCCCCTTATTTATAGTACTATTGATATTAATTCATTTCCTTATTTCTTTCTTATTTAGTGAGAAAGAAATGACGTTAACTGAAAGGGGTACCGAAATTGACAAGATCACTGTAAAAAAGGCTTGGAAAATAATTGAAAAAATCGAAGACGAACTAGAAGACGGTATCAGTTATAAAAAGGATTTAAATTGTCAAGACTACATAGAAAAACGTTTTACAGAGGAAATAGACAAAAGAAAGATGAACGAAGAGAAGAAAACACAGATACAGATGTTTTGTAAATTAATGATCGGATATTTAGGTTTATATGTAGGGGATGATTTGAAATTAGCTTCAGCAAAATGTTATGAGATGGGAGGTGAATATGACGATGATGATGACGTTATTCTGTCACATGGATACTCTCTTTTGTTAAAGGCTTTACAAGACGATCTTACAGATAGCAGAGTGAAATTTAAGAGGAATGTTGTAAGCATTCAATGGAAAAGCGAACAATCCACGGTAAAAGTCATCTGTGAATCACAAGACAAAACCATTGAAGAATATATAGCAGATCACGTGATTGTCACGTGTTCTCTTGGACATTTGAAGCAAAATCATGATAATATCTTTCATCCATCTTTGCCAGATAAGAAAATTAAGGCAATAGAAAGAATGGGATTTGGCAGCGTCGGAAAAATATTCCTTTATTATGAAATTCCATTTTGGCGGAAAGAAGATAGTGGTATTGTACTCGCATGGGACAGCTCAGATGATGATAGTACTTCATGGTATAAATCAATATTCAAATTCAGCACAATACCGACATGTGAAAATGTACTATTAGCTTGGATACATGGTAAAGCTTCAAAACATATGGAAACACTTTCTATTAATGAAGTTGCACGTACTTGTACAGAAATCCTACGAAAGTTCTGGAAAAATAAAGAAATTCCGGAGCCTACATTAACCGAAACGTCTTCCTGGAGCAGGGACCCCTCTTTTCTCGGAGCATATAGTTATTTCGCAGTCGATTCACATAAATCATGTATTTCAGATATTGCTGAACCGTTGTTTGTAGCAGATAAACCCATTGTGTGTTTCGCTGGAGAAGCAACTGACTCAAAATGGTTTTCGTACACACATGGAGCAAGATCCTCTGGAATTCGAGAGGCTAATCGAATTCTCAACCTTTCCAGTTCTTCGAAATAAATAGTAAAAAGCATGAAATACTTGTACAAGGAACCTCATGCTATATTAGATTTGAATAAAAGGAGATATGGGGTATTCTTCAATGAGACAGCAAACGACAATAAATCTATCGATATGTCCGGATCGAGTCTACTGTAGAAAAGTTGTTCATGAATTAAACAGAAGCCTAGACAAGGTTTTTTTATGTATTAAACAGAAGTCTAGTTAAGTTGTTTATGAATTAAACAGAAGTCTAGACAAGTGGTTTATGAATTAAACAGAAGTCTAGACAAGTTGTTTATTAATCAAACAGAAGTCTAGACAAGTGGTTTATGAATTAAACAGAAGTCTAGGCAAATTGTTTATGAATTAAACAGAAGTCTAGACAAGTTGTTTGTGAATTAAACAGAAGTCTAGAAATGTTGTTTATGGATTAAACAGAAGTCTTGACAAGTAGTTTATGAATTTAGGAAGAGTCTAGACAAGTGGTTTATGAATTAAACAGAAGTCTAGACAAGTTGTTTATGAATTAAACAGAAGTCTAGACATGTTGTTTATGAATTAAACAGAAGTCTTGACATGTGGTTTATGAATTAAACAGAAGTATAGACAAGTTGTTTATGAATTAAACATAGGTCTAGACAAGCTGTTTATGAATTAAACAGAAGTCTAGACAAGCTGTTTATGAATTTAACAGAATTCTAGAAAAGTTGTTTATGAATTAAAAATAGTAAATCAAAGATCTTATATCAATACCAAATTCCCATAACAACAAAACACATTTTAATTTCGATATTTTTGCTTGTTTTTCCATTTGCTTTACAATACTGTTCTCCATCTTTGTTTTTGTAAGACTCATCTCCAGTTGTCCATCGTATATGCTCACTCTAAAGAGGAAAAATCACAGACATTAATAGACGAAGGACATTCGCCTCAAATTCAGTCATTGGTTATGTGAATCCAACTTTATCAGTTTACATGACCGTAAATCGACTAAATAACATAATTGATGCTTTAAAAAGCAGATCAAGATTAGTTCGTAAAGGCACATTAACATGCAAATACAAACGACCACAACCAACTATTCTACACTATATTTTAAAAATTAGAAATAAAGAAGACATGACAACTAAACCACATATATAAAAAAATAAGGAGATGTGGTATGATTGTCAATGAGACAACTATCCACAAAACAAAAAGAACAAGAATTTCACAACCTCAGGTCACCGGACGGCCTACAACAATGAGCAAAATTCATACCGTATTGCAAGCCATTAAAGGCCCGGGATGAAACATACATGAATGAATCAACAGAGATGAGGGGTAAACGTTTATTGGACAGCAACCGGACAACATTAAGATAAAACCAGAAAAGGTATCTGTCTACTCACTGTACCTTAGATCATGTAACAAAATTGTAGTTCAATGAGTGCATGTATATATAAAAAAAAATGCTTTACAATAGTTGATGAGTCCCACTTTTCGAATATATGAGCATGCAATGATACAAGAAACATATAGTATCAGTCATAAAATGCAGGGTTTTATCATACCTTTGCGGTTTAATGTCATGTCATTTTCTCAGTTGTCATATTTTTCTGGTTAAAAAACAAATATACCCCTATTTTCAAATCATTTTATCACGGAAAAAAATGTGTGAACAAATGTCATATTTCTTACAAATTCTTGATACACATTTGTTCTCTACATATAAAATGAAGTACATGTATATGTGAAATTATGACCAATGCGTTTTTAAATACACATGCAAGAGTAGCAAATGAATGAAAATTAAAAAAAAAACCTGGCATATAGTCTTTCTACACATTTTGTCGTCAGCCGTTGACAAATATCAGTATATATGGAGACTGCAAACATACACAACCATTACCATACTGTGTAGTTGGTAGCATGCTGTCAGCCATAATTGTTTTTCTTTTATACTTTTTCAGCATAAATCAAGTTGTTGGTTGTCTTTTTTTTCCTAAAATTACAGTCCTTAGAATGTATATTTAATATGTTTATTCCCCTTTGAATGTGTGTATGTTTAAAATCTTGATCAAGGCTGTGATTTTGCCTGTATGCCTGTAGGCATTTCAATCAGCTTGTTGGTCAGTGTTAACTTCAATATTGAACGCACTATTTTTAATGATTTCCTTGTCGGCGATTATGATCTATGCTTGGAAATGATAATCGAGTTTGACGTTACAATTATGTGTTCAACAAAAATTCTACACTCTACAACAAAAAAAAGGGTTCAATTTATGGTAAGATATGACGTCGAATTTCTGATGCTAAAACTTTTGTACTTCTGCAAATTCGATCAAATTCCCCATGTGTTATATTTATCTCCTTCAGAATGTTTTGTGCGACGAGGGCATAAGAACAACATCTTTCTGTCTGCATGATTTTATCAGGATATTTTGGGAATAACCTTTTAAATACTATTTACGCACAAATCAGTTCATTCGGGAATAATTAACAGGGTATGTTGACAATTTTGTGAATTTCTCAAATATTTTGTATAAATTCTCATATGAATTGGGGTACCTTTACCGGGCCATGAGATGTGCTGAAAAAATCCATACAAAAATAAGGAGATGTGGTATGACTACCAGGTAGACATTTTTGAAATTTTCGTTCAAGAGTAAGGTGTGTCTTGAGCAAAGCTCATATTTCTTTCACTTAATCCCTTTTCTTATCAACTTAAAACACGTTAAAGGCTATTCCCCTTACTATTTAATGTCATTTTATTTGTTTGTCTTGAGTTGTAGGTCTTTAATGGTCCAAATTAGGACGCAAATATTACATTTGCTTACAGTGTAGCTGTTAAATTAAGATTTACAATATACAAATAAGGCGATGTGGTATGATTGCCAATAGAAAAGCTATATACCAGAGACCAAAGGACGAGGATGGTTACAACTATGTGCCACTGTGCGACCTTCAACAATCAACAAATCCCAGAACGTATAGTAAGTTATAAAAGGCACGACAAAATATGAAACAATTCAAAAGAGAAAATCATAGTCTTTTTGTCCGTCTCTCTGTCTACTCCCTGTCTGTCCACCTACTTGTCTGTCTGTCTGTCTTTTCTGTGGTTACTATGATATTCATGACGAAAGTAATAGTCGATCACAACACGTCTGCCATATTTCTTTTATTTTTGACAGAAATTGAAATCGAGTAAACGTTTATTTAACAATAGAGTGACTAAAGTTACCAAATGGGATCATAACTGCCATTAGAGCTAGACAATACGACAGAGGAATTTAGGGACTGCATGTAGCCATCAAAGGATTCAAACACATTTTCTGGAAATTTCAAATGGTATTGTGCAAAAAGAAATGTCTTACTTGCTTAATTTGGATACTGGAAAATCTTTTTCCCTTTTACAAAAAGTTAATATACCTAGTTTAGAAACTTAGCCCTGGAACGAGCACCTTTTTCAGCTTCAAAATGCATGCCCACTCTTATAATTTTGTGAAAGGTGCAATGACATCAATGTGGAGATAGTTTGGTTACAGGTAAATATATGAATTCAAAACCGAATATAGGCACTACAGCCGCATTAATCTTGCATTCAAAAGTTCAATCTCAAGCAAGTTTTTTGTCAACGTTGATGTCGATCCATTTAAGTGGGGTGGCTTAAAACGGGGTTTACATAATACGCCTATTTCCAGAAAAAGAAATAAACTTCAAGAACTTTCAAAGCGGTTTGTGTTTGTACCGGCCGACAAAGGAGCCAACAATGTGGTGGTGGTATGCCGTAAATACTACACGGACGTTCTTAAGAATGAAATTTTAAATTCATCTACATTCGAGTCCATGCGCCCCACAGAGAGTCATATAGTTAACAAACATATCATAACCACATCACAGCTTAAGGCTTTTTCTGAACATTTGAAGGTCCCTATTATGTATTGGTTACCTAAACTACACAAAAAAACCAGTAAAATATCGTTTCATCTCGGCCTCTAGTAAGTGTTCTACAACTAATCTTTCAGTGCTTTTAACAAGTTCCTTAACTACTATCAAAGAGCTGATCATAAACTATTGTAATAAAATATATAAAAATAGTGGAATTAACTATTTTTGGAGTGTAAAAAATTCTTTGGATGTTTTAGATAAATTACGTGCTTTTGATGGTCCTTTTGATTATGTTTGCAGTTTTGACTTTTCTACTCTTTACACTACACTTCCACACAATCTTATCAAACAAAAATTTGACTATTTAATTAAATGGTTGTTTGGTAAATCTGAATGCAAATATATTTGCTGCAACTCATTTAAAGCCTTCTTCTCTAATGAGAAAGGTAAATATGCTAGATATACTTACTGGAGGTGTGATGAGATGATTGAAGCTGTTAATTTTCTCCTTGATTATATTTATGTACGTTTCGGCAGCAAAGTTTATCGACAGGTTGTAGGTATTCCTATGGGCACTAATTGTGTCCCTTTAATAGCAGACTTGTTTTTGTACTGTTATGAATCACAGTTTATGACCAAACTTAGTAAAGACCCGTCTAAATTGCATTTAATTGATAAATTCAACAACACTTACCGTTATCTTGATGATATTTTTTCGTTAAATAATCAAGAATTTTCTCAATATACTGCCGAAATTTACCCAAAGGAACTTACTTTAAATAAATCAAATTTAAACGGTAACAACTGTCCTTTCCTAGATTTAGATATTTCGGTTTTACACGGGAAACTCCACACTAAAATTTACGACAAAAGGGACGATTTTTCGTTCCCTATTGTTAATTTTCCCTTTTTGGATAGTGATGTTCCTTTGGTACCATCTTACGGTGTTTATATTTCACAACTCGTTCGCTATGCCCGTGTCTGTTGTGACGTTTTTGATTTTAACGAACGTAATCTATGTATTACTGGTAAATTATTAAGCCAGGGATTTCGTTACCACAAATTACTTAAAATCTTTACTAAATTTTTCAACAGATATAAAGATTTGGTTTTGAAGTTTGGTTGTACCTGTAGAAAACTTATTTCAAACGGGATTGCACATCCACATTTTTACGGCAATATTGTTTACCGTGCCCGGAAACTTAGAAACGATCCTGGTAAACTTATCGATCCTTTAAATAAACTTATTTTAAAAGGTTACCAATTCAACACTGTAATTAGATCATTAAATATTGTTTTTATTGGTACTAATATTGATTTTGTTATCAGTAAATTAAAAGCAAACTAAATATTATTGTTATATACATATACACATTCATGGATCTACAATCTGTCGATACCTGTATCTTGGCATTGCACAAGGTCATGTCTTTCTCTGACTGTTTATGACGTCTTTACACAAAATCCATTGGATGTTGGATGTGTACGGATTGATAATTTAGTCTTAGATGCATGATTTGTTTTATTAGTTGTTAGTGGGTTTGAACTAGCTGTCAGTAACTACGAGTACTCTCATTATCTGTACTTAGTGTCTTTTTGTTGTTTGGATGTACAAGTACCCGGCCACGTCCACTTGTATTTGTAGTATTTGTATTTTTATCCATCTGATGAGTTAACCCTCTTTCAACATAAATTAGGCCGTTAGTTTTCTCGTTTGAATTGTTTTACATTGTCATTTCGGGGCCTTTTATAGCTGACGGTGCGGTATGGGCTTTGCTCATTGTTGAAGGCCGTACGGTGACCTATAGTTGTTAATTTCTGTGTCATTTGGTCTCTTGTGGAGAGTTGTCTCATTGGCAATCATACC